ATTATTTATTTTTTTATTTACCTTCATTATGTAAGTAGATAATATTTATTAATTTCTTGATATAGATTCAATTTTGGACTGAGAGGGATGGAGAAAACAATATGATTGAAGAACAAGTTAGTTCAGATACAACAACAGCAGAAATCAAGAAATTTTTACCTAATGCTAAACATTTTGTGCGTATACTTGCACACAACAGTCGTTTTAATGGAGCGCCTAGTCAACCAATAACTTTTAATACTCCTGAAGGAGGTAAATAAATCCTTAGGATCTTATGATTTCTTTTATATTAAGATTGAATTCAATATTTGAGCTACTCAAGGCATATCTAATGTTTTTTGTGTATAAAATTATTTATTAATAAATATATCTGATTATAAATTAATTTTTAGGATTAAAATAATTTAAAAATGTTGTGTTTAGTTCCTGGGCCTGTTCATGGAGTTGAAGCTGAACAATGGGGCTCTTCTGCTATTTTGTTGAGTTGGCAACCACCAGAAGAAGCAAATGGGGTATTAACTGGCTATGAGATTTCTTATGAAGCTATGACTCAAGAAGGTGTCGGAGAAAAGTCACAACGTCCTTCTATTACTGATCCTAAACAGACTACTGCTAAATTGGCTTCACTCAAACCATCAACTAATTATCGAATCTACATTCATGCAACTACTAAGGCTGGCGTTGGTGAACCGTACGTAAAGACTTAGTGTGATTTAAGATTTTATATTTGAGATAGCTATAAAATATTATTCCATAATAGATTTTTCATTGAACAACAAACCAAATCTCCTTTACCTGAAGGAACTGAATTGGATAAGCCAGAGTTCAGTTATGTCCATAAAGCTTATAATAATGTTTTTGATACAGTTCGCATTTTATGGACACCTAAACTTGATGGAAACCCAGGATCTCACTTCTTTGTTAAATACAAGTATAAATGCTATTCATTATTGCTTGTGTATTTTTATTTAATTTAAATTAATTTTTATAGGCTTAAAGGTGCCAACTTGTACGAGGAAACCAAACCTGAACTTGACACAAACTTTATTGATGTAAAAGGGTTGAAACCTGGGGAATTGTATGAATTTGTTGTGGTTGCTGTAGATGGTAATACCATGAAAGAATCAGATACTGCTGAAATTGAAGCATCAAGCACTGGTACATTTTTAATACTTATTTCTTGTTTTAACATTTTTTAATTTTATGTAGGTTGCTAACTGATGAAGGAAGATTTTTATTTATGTATAAAATTGTTATAAGGGTATACATGAATGAATTGCTCACTCACTAATATTATGAATTTAGTCACATTTAATAAAAATATATATCTAAAATATTAATTTACTTCTATTATTTAGATCCAATAATTAGAAGAAGCGAAAATATGGCAACATCAGGATGGTTTATTGCAATGCTGTTAGCTTTGTTATTCCTTATTATCGTGTTAATTATTGTATGCATATTGAAACGTAATAGAGGTGGAAAATATGTGGTACATGAATCAGAAGCGGCACGTGGTCGACATGATTATCCTGATGAACCTCATTTTCATGAATATTCTCAACCGTATGTATATAAGTTATAAGTTTAAAATATTTTTGTCAGACAATTATATTTCCCATTTTTTTTTATTAGACTTGGTGGTGCAAAAAGATTAGGAAGTGAAAAACAGTCTCCAGAAAGTGATACAGACTCAATGGCAGAGTATGGAGAAGGAGACACAGGTATATATATATATATATATTTCTAAAATATTTTGCATCAATTTTATTATTTTTATGTTTTGTATACAAAATGCTCTTTTCTACACCATTAATTTCCCTGTTATTAAAAGTTTGATAATAGCACTTTCAAATACAAATTTTCTTATCGCTCATTGTAGTTTACAATTAAAATTTAGTGTAATATATGTTGTTCCATATGCATGTTAGTATCATCAAAAAAAAAAACTTTATATTATAAAAATTATTGTAGCTCGTTAGAAAGTAAATAATTTTTCATTACAAATAATATTGTGCATTTCTGATGTACATTGTCTAATGTGATCAACATTTGAACGTACAAATATTCCGATAAATTTATATTAAATTAAATTATTTTATATTATCCCATTGCACACATTTTTATATTTAGTATATATTTCAAGTTCTTGCATGTTAGTTATTGTTTTGTTTTCTCTTCCATTTCACTTGTAGAAGGAATGAATGAAGATGGCTCTTTCATTGGCTTGTATGGTAAAAAAAGACAGGGCGAAACCACTTCGGCCGGTTTCGCCACACTTGTCTAAATGTGTGAGTACTTAACCTCAAATGTAAATTTATTATTTGTAAAAAGTTTATTTTTTATATTTATATTTATATTTCAATTAAACAGCTCAGTTTACTGAAGATGGATCTTTTATTGGTCAATATGGCACAGCTAGAAAAAATCGGCAACAGCAATCTCAACCTCAACCACAACCGCAATCTCCACTTCAAGCTGTCACTGGTTCGTCCTCTGCTGCCACTTATGTATAATCTTTGACAAATATTTTTGGCATTTACTCGTTTGCCTAGATAATACATAAAATATTTTTATGCATTTTTAACGAATCTTCCCTGCCCTAAAACCAAAGCTTTTCTTGTCAGTATTACTATTTATTATTTGACCAATAACGCTTTAAAATTATTTAATTGTAAAGATACAGGCTATATTGTTGTCTTTTGTTGTAACTAATGGTTGTATTTTTGTAACGTGTCTATTAATTTCATATTACTAGAATTCCTCGTCTGTGATAAAAACGTTTTTCAGTTCATGATAAAAAAAAAAAATAGGAACGTTAGAAAAACTAATTAACTTAACCATATAATTTCAATTGGAAAGAATAAGTAGTATTATTTTTAATATATTAAAACAATAAATTCATACATATATAAATATATTTAAATTAATATCGGAATTTTGTATTCATACCATACCAATTATTTTAGGCATTACAACTTTTTATTTTGTGCCACAGTCATTCTTAGGATGGTTTGGTTGTTGTTGTGGTTAATTCTGTTAATTTAATATTAATTTTAAAATGCACGCTACGCCTGCGCTTTATTTAACACCTTTTTAAATATTTGTTATGTTATATATAGACCTCTAATAATTTTATGTTTACTGTTTAGTATGTATTATAATTTTGTAATCAGTATTACTCATGAACAATGGCAACTTTCTTTTTTCTTTTTTGATCTCAATATCAAATTTAAATTGAAGCCATACTATAATTTCACATCACATAAAAGTGACCTAAGTTTCATGACAATATTTATATAAAAAGATACATTTATTTTATTTTTGTAAACCTCAATCCAATTTTTAATATGAACAATATATTATATTTTTGATCAAATTTTCACCACCACCTTTCACTGCCCTTTATAGAATAATCCTTGTTATTATATTTGTATAACCATTTTTTTTTCATATTTATGTAACGCATGCATTCCATATAAATAGATCTTAGTTAAGTTCATAATATATATTAATACAATTCTATGTAAAACATTTTTACCTGTATTCAGAAACAAATATTAGAATGTGACATGACTACTTTGCCTTATAGATGTATTCAACAACGACACTTAATATTTTAGTTCATCACATTTTAAATTAATGCACCCGAGTTTAGTTTGTAGCCAATTAAGATGTAAAAATATTTTTTTTTATCAATATTTTAATGTGCCCTATAATTTGATTAATTTATTTTTTTTAAACACATCAGATTTTTATTTTTAAGTTAAGATATATTTGACACATTGGCAGTATTAATCTATAAGTATAATTTTGTATTTTTAATAAACTAGTAGGTTATGCTAAAATACCTAATTAAATGGCAAAGGTAATGTGATGTGTTTTTTGTTTATGCTACTTAATAATGAAGTACTTATATAAATTTCCATTTTTCTATGATCACAACATCACATACAGAAAGTTTGGTTTATTGTTATTCCTAATTGAATAGACTAAACTTGAAGACTGTTAGTAATTCGGTAAAGACAAATAAGTGACATGATATTATTAAATTACCATTTCTATAATTATCATTTACATTGTACAATTAAAGCTTATACTAGGATTAGGAGGATTGCACAAGCTAAATTTACAAAGTTGATCGAACAATAAAATAATATTTATTATTCATTTATGTTTATATTTTATTCATTTTATTGTACAATAATATCACTCATTTTTGTTATGTAAAGAATGAGTTTAATTTTCAGTTTTAAAATAATATAATTAGGTGAGATGAATGTCAGAATGTTGTGTTATTATGGAGGATGTCAGTTCAATATTTGTTGTGTCTCAGACTCACGCGCAACATAGATGAATCGCTATCACTGGAAATCGTTATTTACCATCTTAGAGCCAAAATTTTCATATTGAAAATGTCACCAGTGCGTGGCTTCTTTCCCTGAATTATGTAACTCGTGTTCTATTTTTTTTTATTCTTAACGCACGTACTCATTATGTGTGTAATATAGAATATAGATTATATTTTTTTCTTCTAAAAATAAAAAAAGGACGATGGCTGTACCAGCTGACCACTTAAGTGATGGTTTTGTTAAAACCACTGAGATGGACTAGAATGCACACATATATAATTATATTCTTATCTATCTCAATGTTTAAAACGGAATTAGATTTTATATTATTTTATTTTATTATCACCATTCACCATCCTTTGATCTACATAGGTACAACAGTTGTGCGATTGTGTATAAATTGTCTAGCCTCTGATATAGTTCGTATTCTGATAAACGTCGTTATTATTATTATAATTTAGTCAAATATTGTTTTTTTTTGTTTTCAGGATTTATTAATTATATAATAAATGAGACTGAATCACGATCACGGATTAATTTACGGGATTAATATCGTATATTAATCCGTGATCACAATTTAAGAAATTATTATGTGATAATTCTTATCAATATATTGTAACATTTAACGGTGATAATTCTTATCATTTTTTTTCATTTTTTTTAGCAAAAATAACTATTGAGTAACTGGGTAAGTTGTAGGTACCTCGTTAACCAATAACTACTGTCAAGTAATTTCATTTGTGTCTAGTAGTTTGTACCTAACTTATTTAACTTCTTGGTTACTTACTGTTATCCTCTAAACTAAACCATAAATTTTAATTTACCTTATCAACTTTTCCCATACTATTTTGTGGATTAATTTCGCATCATGTGCAAAACATAAAGATATTAGTACTGTGAGATATGATAGAAATATATTCAATTTTCAAAGTATAGAAACTATCTGTTTTATACATCTGCCATGGACGAAGAACTTAACAGTGAATCTGAGAAGAGCTCCAGAGCTCCCGCTGAAAATAAAGAAAAAAGTATATGTTCAAGTCATAACTGATTTTTATTTATTATTTATTATCTAAAACATATCTATTTCATGTTTTTTCATAGTTGAGATACTATTGAAAGCAACTGGTAATGCACCAATTCTCAAAACAAAAAAATGGATGGTTGAAAAAGAAAAGACAGTAGCATCTATTAATGATTTCTTACGGAAACTATTAAAACTAGAACCATCTGATAGTTTGGTAAATATATTAAATATATTAGTTACATTAGTAAAACTATGTTTGTTTAAAAGTATGTCACATAAAAATGTATTATCATTAGATTTCTCTTTTTTAACAAAAAAACATAAGATTTACATAAATTGACAGTATAGTTCTGTGATAGAATAAAATGTGTGATAAATAATATTTATTTCACTTTTTATACTGAATATTAATATACTAGAATATTTAATGAAGTGGCAATATACTGTAGTATGTTTTACTTCATAATTGTCTTTTATTCGTGAAAAAATGTATTATTTTTGTAACTTTAGTATCAAAATTTCAACTTTTGCCATAGTACCACACAGTTATTTGAAATACCTAATTTCTAAACCTATTATGTATTTACATTGTTGTACTTTAAATCAATACTATGACTTTTTTATTTGAATGTAAATGCAGTTTTTGCCGCTGCTTCACTGCATGCATTATATCCATTCAATCACTTAAGGCAGTGGTTTTTAACCGGTGTTCTGCGGTGTTTCTGACTTGGTATAAGTGTTCCGCCAAAAAAATGTTTGGTTTCATTGTCTTAACATTTTGACTTTTATGGACTTTCAATACACAAAAGTATAAGACGTGTATAACAATATACTGTATAGTACTATAGTGTATAGAATCATTTTAGGTTAATATATTAAAAAATTAAAAAATGTAATATACTACTATTTTATTTTACGGTTGTGTTCCGCAAAAACTTTATAAAATGTGAAGTGTTCCGTCATTCTAAAAAGGTTAAGAACCACTGACTTAAGGTGACGCAGCAGCAAAAACTGACATGTGCACCAGACCTTAAACATTTTTTGGGTTGAAGATAAAGGGTTATACAAATATAATCAACATTTAGTTATGATTTCAAATAAAAAATTATTTATTATTATTAATAAATAATAAAACATAACAGGAGAAAAGATAATGACAATACATTTTAAAGTTTGATATTTGATGAGTTATTTTTCTGAAATATCTTAATTTATTACATATGCATTTATTTATTTATAGTTCATATATGTGAATCAAGCATTTGCGCCACCACCTGATCAGACAATGAAAAATTTATATGACTGTTACAACACAGATGGTCGGCTTATATTACATTATTGTAAAACCCAAGCTTGGGGATAAGATACTAAGATCATATTACATTTTGTTTCTTAGTAATCAAAAATGTTTTAATTTGTATTTATTTTAAGCTTTTGTACTTATAAAATTGTTTTTATTAATAAATATGTATAGTGTGTATATATAAAAAAAATACTACAATTATTTAAATCTGAATCTATTATACTCAATTGGTCCAAATTAAATATTGAAGTATTGTGTACTATCGTAAATTACTTATTATTTTGTATTACTGCAGCCTGCAGGTATAAATAATTTTATCTATTTAATTATTATATTTAAAAAAATACTTGTTATATATTATGTATTCCAGAATAAGCCAGAGTTATTAATGTCATTAATCTGTATGCAAGCTTCAAAGAGGAAGACTGAAACTTTACATATTGAGTATAGTGTATTAAAGTTTAAACTCCATTGTATAGAATATAGATTATAGGTTTCAACCAATATTTGTATATTGTCAGTGCCGGATTTAACCATTGTGCCGCTTTAAGCACTAAATAATTATAGTTAATCTAGTCTAAAAAATGTTATTAGAGCATACAATTATAGTTTTTTATTTTTTGCATAAAATTTTAATGATGAAAAATAAAAACATATAACTCTACGATTATGAAATTGGAAAACATAAAATATAAATATTACCACAATCCCATTGGTCTAAAAACATTTTATAATTAGTTTCATTTTATTTTAGTTTTAGTTACATACAATAGTAAAAATGTAATATTAAAAATTATTTGCCGCCCTTGAGAAATTGCCGCCCAAACTCCTAAGCACTAGCTTATAGTGTTTACTAGGAAATACGGCACTGTATACTGTATAAAGGCCCAGACGCCCAGTAACAGGTTTTTCAAATTTTTCGCAATTCTATAAAATTTGAATATTATATTTTATATTTTAATTGTAGCCTTAATTATTATACTATTCCACTAATCTACTACCTGATACCTATTTAAGAGGGGGATTGATGTAGAGTAAAAAAGAACAGTGTCCTAACTCCTAGTTGTTGTAGTTTTAAATGAGTCATAGAAAATAACGCGTTATTCCTATATATAGGTATAACTTCTCTGCCTCACTAGGGTTAGGATTAACAGGAATTGGCATGCATAGGGAGTGTTCGTGTTATGACGCACTTCTTGAGCCATAATATGGTATTATCATATATTGTAATATGAAATATGAATTAAAGGTTGGTTATTAATAGTTATATTTTAGGTATTACTTATGCATATATTTATTGCACATCTAAACTGTAAACACGAAAAATGCATGTTATATCGTACCTGTACTATTTAAACAAAAGAAGGTAGGTAGGTACTAGGTTGTGAGAAACTGTAAATGGTTGGATGTCACATCGTCATAATAGTTTCAAATTTCAATGTCATAAGGTCAGTGATTTTGTCTTGAAGAAAAATAATGTAAAAATGGCAAAATAATGTATTACTATTTTATGTTGGCCTATTATTAAGGCTATTATTGCTAGGCCCGAAGTTGCTAGAGGTAGGAGTTTGGATGTTTTAGAAGGTAGGTGATCATACCAACAGATATCCGTGAAACGAAAACATGAGTATTCACTGTCTAGGTTTAACTTTTACTACATCCAGGCTGCAAGACACGAGGTTCTACGATGTTCAGAATATGATTTTATGAATAAGCAGAGGACTACGGTTGATGCTGTTTCAAGCACCTCTGTTGGCGGCGATAAACATGTCATCGACGACCGATTGCAAGTGAACATTCTTCTCTCTCTCTTTGCTGAGTACGGCCTGGAGTGATTCAACCGTGGTCGGATCGGATCGGCTCCTCTCCACGATATCTAACAGATCACGTTTGTCCTTTTCAGCCGCCCTCAACCTGTCCTTGACCGCCGTCAACCGTGCCCGGAGTTCGCGCAACTCATGCGTCGCCATCACGCTGTGCAGACGCCGACCGCAACACGAGTTTCCGGTCACAGACGTCCTGTGCTCACGGTTCGCCGACAAAGCGTCCCGGACACGAGTAATGATCTCGACCAAGTCGCGTTTCTGCAAGACAGTAGGTACACCCGTGGCCTGCAGGTCACCGTCCAACATCCGGGACAGTTCGTCAACCGGACTGTCCGCGCTGGACACCGACTGTGCGATCAACCAGCGCAGCCGTTCCTTGTCCGCTTTCAGTCGATGCGTCTCCGCCCGAAGCCGCCCGTACATGATCAACAACTTCCCGGCAATTGAATTCAGTACCTCGTCGTCTGGCGACCGCCTGTCCCACACCCGGATGTCATTCACTCCGAGCATCGGAACTTCCGACTCTTTCGCCCCCCGCCCTACGATCGTTTCCTCATCGTTTTTGTCGTGTGTCTGCACTCGCACCCCGAACGCCTCATCCACGATCCGAGCCACCTGAATATCACATTCCGATGTAATACGGTATGATGCACAGGAAGAATTTTTTTTATAGATAATTTGTATGTAATATTCTATTAAAAACATGATTTTACAAAAAGTGTAAGTGAAAAGAATGTTTGATGGTGAATTTTTTTAGTTGGATTTAGGAAACAGAAAATAATTATTAATATAGACATTTCCTGGCTACTCCACTGACTATAGACTATAGTGGAAGTGGATATTATGTTATATATAGGATGGAATGGTGGATAGTTCTAAAAAAGCACATAATATGCAAGCACTAGTGCTTTTATTAACCTCCAAAAAGGTGGTCAGGTGGGTACCGCTCTGCCGTATTTTAGGTGTTATGTGGGTATCACTGTGACGCTGTAATAGATGTGTTAAATTTGAATTAAATGATATAAAACCATTGTAGGTACAAACAATGATTCTGAGCGAAACCTCTATTACAATGTATGTTTTAAATTTGTATGACATTATTGCTTTTAAAATAATTTATTTTACTATTAGTAATACGGTCGGCTGAATTAATTTTTGCGAAAACATTGAATTTTAAAATATTATTGTGTGCTTATAAAATATGATAATATAACTGTATAAGTACCTACTTTAAAAGTTGCAAGTACCACGAATAATATTTTAAAATGCAATAAAGTACCTAAAATCATTTAAACAACTAATTGCATTCAAATGTTTGTGGTTTTAATGAATTCTGTCAAAAATCAAAATGTTAATTTTAAATGATTATAAAAAAATCGTAAGTACCTATTTATCCTTAATATTTTTTAAATACTATTATAAAATTTACGAGGAACCTCTTAGTATTACTTTTTAAAGCTTTTTAACTGAAAATTTTTGATCAATATTTAGGTATCTAAAAAAACTTAAAAAAGTGAAACTCAAGCTTTCATAAAAAAATCACTGTCTACTTACTCTCAACTTTTTTTATAAACTTCACTTATAACAACTCACAAGGAACCTTGTATTAACATGTTCAAGTTTTTGACCTAGTAACAAATTTTTAATCTACAAAAGTTTATAAAAAACTAATAAAAATATAAAATATATTATGCCTAAAAGTAGCTCAAAAACAGTCAAAATATTTAGACTATCACATTAAGAGAAAATATCATGTTTAAACGATCATTTTTTTAGAGCTATAGGTACCAAAAACCAAAATCAATTTTATCAAAAACCGGCTCTGCATAAAAATCTCCGTTTTCCCTTAAATATTTTGGGGATTGTCCCGACACTTTTGACATTTACTTATAGAATTTTACATTTTGAACTTTAAAAAGTACCAACTAGATTCACTTTCTCATCAAAAAATATTTACTGAAGTAGAAAATCAAAGCAGCTACTTCTATCAACTACTTATCGTATATATTATATATATATATTATATATATATAATACATGTATTATATACATAAAAAAGAAAAACACTTAAATTAAAAATATTTGTATTATCAACTGCAGGTATATTCATTGCTTTGCTCAGAATCTGAAAAATATGTACTAAAAATGTTGATTTTAGTGGCTAATTAATAAATATTAAAATTAAATAGGTTTAATATTATAGTAAAATATAAAATAAGAATGATTTTAAGTACAGTAGAATCTCTATATTATCCAAACTAATTGGGACCGCACCTAGGTAATTCGAAAACGTGAAAGTTCGGACTCTGCAGAAAATTATACGTATATGACATATATATATAAATATATTTAATAAATGTACATGCATATAACGAAAATACATAGGTACATATAATATTATATGATATATTGTCATTCATAATTTATTATTATTAACATTGAATTATTGTATACATTAATTTATTATACATAATCACATGTCTACATGATTACGTGTACAAGCGCCACAATGATTAATGATGTTCAGATACGTGAATTGCATTTGATATTTATTCGGATAATCGATATTCCACTCTAAGTCACTAACCTAAGTCGTTACATGTATATACTCAAAGACCACTACGGTTGTGCGTGGAGGCTGTTACTCAAAAGCCTCCACCTAAATGGTACCTAAAATACAATTTATTATCTTCTTTTATAAAAGTTATATTTAAAAAGAAATGTGCAATAATAGCCAAAAAAAAAGAAATATGACTCAAGAAGCAAAAATTACCTGAATGGCTGAGTATGCAAAAATATGCAAAATAAAACTACAAATTTGGCTTTGCCATAACATGAAACCAATTGGTTTCACTAATATATAGCTGATTATAGTCGTGGATACGAAAAATGAGAACTGCCCGTCATGCGCCGAGCAGTAGATTTTTGGTAGTGGTTATGAAATCCTACAACAAAGGCATTTTGCCTCATTCTTAGGTCCTTACCTTAAAGAATTTAAAGAACATTTTTCGTGTTCGCGACTATAATATATAGTATAGTTTACCAAGCGTAGGTAATTTATTACGAAATAACTTACCTACCACTAGCTCAATATCTTCAAAGTATCTATTTTTTGGCTGAGTACTTTGTTTAGACATTTTTATACATTTTTTGTGCACTTTGATCACTTCTTTGATATTGTCTAGTAATACTTTTTGTTTAGCTTTATAAGTGTGAATTTTGGCTTGAAATAGCTTTTCCTGGATGTTATTGTCAATTTTTCGTTGACTTGTTTTTGATCGTATGGGATATGTGGTAAATTTATAATTGGACTTTTTTTTCCCATTTGACATTCGTAAGCTTTGAGTTTCCTTAATTTTGGTTGAAGTTTTTTAGTAGAAATAAAAATGTTTGTAGATCTTATTTATGTATGTAGCTATTGACAACACAAATATTAAAATTAAAGACTAAAATTTTCTAACTTATAAAGTACAATTCAAAACCAAATATTATGTAAGGAATGTATCACTTCATTCTGATTTCAAACCAAGTACGATTTACGAAACTGTATTCTGCAATTTTGTTATTCAACAGATTCCACTCAACAAAACAATGAAAACATCAAAAACTCCTCCGCGAAATAAAACTAGTCGATTAAATGCGAGAACAGGTCTGGAAATGCAGATATATCAAACAGATCTTCTTTGACAAAACGCCATAAGTTAAGTGGTCTAAACTGTGACATTTTCTACTCCCGTGTTTCAAAGTTTTATTAATATTAATTTGATATATAAAACTGGGTGTTAAAATGTACAGTGTTTAATACCTACAGATTGTAATAAGTAACGTAGGTATTCCATAAAAAAAAACGGGGAAAGTTGGTAAACGCTGTGCTACCTATAGCCTGCTAGCCTGGCGTCTGGTATCGAGTGTACCTCGGGGTTATTGAGTAAGTCACTGCGAAACGTATGTGATAAATCATTGCATACAAAGAACGATTCGTAAAGAAAATTGTCTGTTGGGTATACCTACTACTAAGTATATTTCCTTTATGCTAAGTGTTGATATTGCTATTAAAGAGCTGTGTGCGCTGGCACCCGCGTTTTGGAAAATTAGCTCAAAAACTACACCAGTACAAATATGTAACAATTATATTAAAATCTGTACGCATCCCTCCCCCTCCCGTCACTTGTCAATCAATGTTCTGTTTCACGTACGAAAATGATAACTTAAGACTTAACTATGTAACGTTTAAAGTGTCTACAATTAATACTTGTTGAATAACAATAAAATACCTAAAACCGTTTGAATGGAAATTTATATTTTACGTTTGAAAAGTACATTTCAAAATTTGAACCCCAAATATGATTTATTGAATTATTTGAATACGTATATTATAGTGTTTATCTAATATAAAAGAGAAATACCATTGAATTAAAAATAATATATATATTTTTTTATTAAATTGGCAATGTTTGTATTGATTTGGCCTTCATTTGGATAATTTTTCAAATGTTATAATTTATAACCTCTTTAATACTATAGTTTCAATTTACACTAATTTATTTTTTACTTTTTGTGTAAATCTAGCCTACACTAGTATTTACAACGAATACATTTAAGTCAAACTGACCCCGTTTACAGTTAAATTTCCTGGAAACTAAAAATAATTAATCTTAGTCCGTGATGTCTCTGACGTTAGAATATATTATATATACGCCGTAAACTTGCAACTATATTATATCAAACACTAGCTGGTAAGTGGATTAATTCCAAGCTGTTCCATGCGATACAGTTTTGTCATTCAAGATACCGAAGACAGCAAATACAGTTCATTATGGATTACCATAATGGCATAATAACGACATATAGTCGTTTTCGAAGGCGGTATAATAGGCGTATAATAATTTACATGAGGTAATATAATATGTCCTATATTACAGCGGTTCTCAACCTTTCTATATCCGCGTACCACCTACAGAATTTGAAAATTGTCATGTACCACTTGAACAAATAACGTTTATTTTGCTTTGTATGGAATTTTATTTTATTAGAAACTACAAAATGATGATTATATTAGTATTTAATGCATACAAAAAGAGGCATCTACAATTATTGTTTACATTATTATTATATCAGATAAGCCAAATAATATTTAATGTGAATAATATTCCATAATATCATTTTTTTTATGAATGGAGATTTTTTTAGTGCATTGCCCACGAGCTCTCTGCTTACCACAGCTTGAGAATCGTTGTCCGATATTACATAATGTTATTATGTGTTATTACTTTATTAGTAAGCATTTTTAAATATTAGAATCTTACAAATTATGATAATATAGCACAAATATAGATACAATATCAAAAAAAAAAATATTTAAAATGTTAAAAAATAAAAAAAATCATATTTGTGTTGGTATAATGTATACGGCATTAATTTTTGTTACTGTTTATTTGTATTATAACATGATTTGTAAAACTAATAATAATTTTGGTAGATACCTATATTTTTAATGGCAAAAGGATGAAAAAACATTTTTAACCGAACAACAAAAGGTTTAAATAGATTATAGATACCTAGTCCAAGGTCCGTTAAAATGGCAAGGGAAATGTTAATATAGCGTAGACGCGTAGTACTCACCACTACCTAGTTAAACATGATTTGATTTTCTTACATCAATTTTATTTTAATTGATTACTGACATCCGTTGTATGAAATCTGAAATGGGGGGAAAAAATATTTTTTAGTCCATATTGAATATGAGATTAAAACCAAGGTGAATCTGAGAATAACAAAAATTGCTCAAAAAGAGGGACTAAAGCCCCTTAGTCAACCTTGGTTGCGCCCTTTGCGTCGAAGGTCTGGGCACGCCTATGGTTGTTACCCGCATGACAACAAATATTATTATGTATTTTATGTGTACCCGCGTCATGACATGACGTGCGTATCAGTGTATAATGATATGTAAATAGCGTGTATAAATGCTAGTGAGTGCATTTTGTTGAGTGTGTAAATAGCGATAAAACAGTTTTGATTTCTTTACGCGTCTCGGCAGATACGCACATCGCATATCCCCCATAATTGTCTCTAATTACTCTTCATATTTATTCAATTCCATATTTTATTCAATTAAGCCGCGGTCATATAATGGTAGAATAACGTGATAGTTACAAGTATAGTGTCGCGAAAGAACCGTCATGCGTACAACTGTCACAGTACGAACTCTGTATTATTATGATAATTACAATCACACTATCAACTTGTTCACTCTCACACTATAATGCATGCATGACAGTTCTTTCACGACAGCATCTATCGCGTTTTTCTATCATCGGGTGACCGCGGCTTTAGGCCATATTGTTCTCTTATTTATATTTTAAAAACTACTCTCACAGCACAAGCTTTGCTTACCGAGGCTGCTGCTTTATTCTACACATAAATGACATTGTAATTTGCAATGTTTAAAAATTGTTAATGTTGCATTAGACTTATTATTATTATTATTATTATTACCATTTGTATTGTTATCATTTGTATGATAATAATTATTATTATTATTATAAGAATCACAGCTGGTCATGCTATGGTTTATGACTTACTAGTGACTACACCCGACGACCACGGCAAAAAATAACAGAAGACAAACATTTTGATAATTTAAAATTATGGGCATATATTATATGTTATTTTATACAATAATTTTAATCAGTTTACAATTAATAGTTATACATTTTTATTAATTTGTGACACAATTCATATATACACTATATCTTCTAAACTATACGTGTTGTGTATAATTACTAAACCCATAATTTGTTATTAACTATTTCTAACGTATTAAATGATTACTAAACTATAACGTAATATACTAATACACAATCAATAATTTACAATAGGTACCTACTACAATATAATATATTTTATGTTTATAAATCATTTTTGCTTTCGTTGACTTCAAAAAGTGAAAAACGAAACACAAATTAGTGATTAATAAATAACGGCTATGATAATTTTAAATACTTCTTAACAAACCTTTTTTAATAAAATATGTTCTTTCTTATTTGAATTTGAGCAACTTATATGTTTTATGTTTTAATATAAACGTAAGAATATGAAGTAATACAAAAAAATATATAAAAACAATGGGTTGCACATGCATACAAAATAATACATCATAAATGTGACTAGCTATGTAAACATAGTCGTTTGTAGATGATTCCCGACTATGTTTGATTTGTGTGAATGGTTTTTTTCACAATTATTCTGATTCCATAGATTACTTGTAAGTCCATAAATAGATACTCTCCTAGAATAAAATTACAATTTATAATTAAAATTTCTCTAATTTATGTAAATGACAATTTTACTTAATTATTATTAGGCTTTAATGTTTAATAGTTTTATAGAATTAATAATTTTTTTGTAATACGAGTGAGTATAAGTTTATTTTATTTATGCATAGAAAATTCTAAAGGTTTAAATAACTTTCTCTGTTAATATATATTTTTTAACACTACAGTTTTAGGTGCTTAATTATAATTCATAACTCATTTTAATAAAACTAAATATTTATTGTCGATACATAAAATACACATCATAATATATGTACCTAATTTAATGGCAGAACAGTAAATAAACTTTAATTAAATGCATTCAAATATTCGATACCTATGATAATAATTACTAAAAACAAAGAACATCGAGTAAAATTTTATAAATTATTAGTCAGAAATAACTAACAGTACATAATTATTATGTACAACTATTACAGTATAATAATAGTATCGATTATATGTAGGTTTATGCGGTTTCGGCATTTTGACAACCTTATAAAAGAAACGATTACGAAATTTGGTTAAAAATAATAGTAATAATGACCTGAACCATAAGCTAATAATATGTGGGTTGAAATATAAAAAAACGAAATAGAATGATACTAACAAATTGGTTAGCAATCGGATGTAAACTATGCATTTTGATTTAAAAGCATTTCCTATCACTGCGCACAGACACATTTAACTGAAGTAGATATATAGATACAACTTTGAGTCTTTAAATAACATGGACCCTAATAAACGACTTAAAAATATAATCCAAAGAAAATAATGACCTTATTTGAAATTGGGGTTTAAATTTTATACACAACTGCATGAATCACAATCAGTATCATATACCTAGTTTCTGGAATTTTTTTTTAAGAAAATCTACAATCTGTTATTCAGTATATCCAAGAAGTAAAAGAGATGACTGTACATAAACATATACATATCATAAAGGTAGGCTCAAGAAGCTCACGATGAGGGAAGCCTCCAGACAATATTTAAACATTTAAAAAAACCTTTAAATATTATTTTTTAGTGTCATTGTAGTCTGTAACTACCTACATCTATCTATTACATTTTAAAGATAATTTTTCATTTGTTAATTTATTATTGTTATATATGTTACATGTATTATTCACCTATACTGCCGTTATAAATTGACCTAAAGTTTAAAGTCCAGTTGAATTTTTTTCGACATTATTCTTTTTATTTCGTGGGAATTAATAACAGAGATGGTTATACTTACATCGTTGTTTCTGTAGCATGCTGAAAAACCGTTGGACGGTTTGCTTCAATCTGGCTTGGTCTTCCGCCGTCGAGTCGTCGTGGTACTTCAACGGAACGATTTCGTCAACATGTGACGGCGGCAGTGGAGCGCTTCGTTTTTTCGTTTTCGCCTCGTCGCCATTGCTGAAGTCCGCAGTGACCGATGGCGTTGACTGACCTATCGATCCCGATCCACCTCGCTTGGTATTGACCGCTTGACTAACGCGTTTGTACGATGGCTGAGCCATCCGCTCGTCCACGCCCGAACCCAAGTCACGTTGGTCATCGTTGAGACTCTCCTGTGAAAAGGACGTCTGCTGCAGCTGTTGGCCAGAGATCGCGGCCAGCTGTTGGCCCAACTCTTGGCTGTTGGCCGGCTGCTGGAAGTCGAAGTTCTGCAGCCCTCCGCCGAAACCGTGACCCGCGGTCTGTTCGGCGCTGCCTCCGTTCGACGGGTAACCGAGGTTCGGCGCCTGTTGACCGAGGTTCGGTGCCTGATATCCGAGGTTCGACGCCTGGAAACCGGGATTCTGTGCCTGGAAACCTGGATTTTGTGCCTGAAAACCGGGATTCTGTGCCTGGAAACCGAGGTTCTGTGCCTGAAAACCGGGGTTTTGTGCCTGGTAACCTAGGTTCGGCGCCTGGTAACCAATGTCCGGTGCCTGGTAACCGGGGCTCAAGTCCGGCGAGTATTCTTCAGATAGAACGTCCGATTGAAATCTGTTTGGAAACGGTTTTTGAAATCCAAAACCTTGCTGTGGAGTCTTAAAACTTGAAGGATTGAATGCACCTGCACCCAGTTGCTGTGACGGCCGTTGGCCGATCGCCTGCTGTGAGCTGGCCGTGCTTTGAGACGTCACCAGATTACCGGCTGCCGGTACGTTCTGCACAGGCATTTTGATCGGTTTGAAGATCAACAATCCAGCGTGAACCGAATCCTTGTCGACTGCACAAAAACACAAGTTAAGTACAAACCAGTATAATACATATATAACGAGTTGAAAATAATACAAATTTCAACTATCGTTTATACGTCCGACTCGGCCATGCCAGGTTTTTGACGATCCACGTCTTATAATGTAACTATAATATATATGTCTACGAAACCCGAATCGGTGTCGTACGTTTAAGCATGTTTACTTTCCGTGTACGTGACTCCGCCGTATACTCACTCATCACGTACAAAACAGCCAAATTGTAGAAAGTATTACTGACTACTTGCTACACGAGGAAGTGTGCCTACGGGGCCCTCCGCTTGTATTTAACAACACAATAATGCAATATTTCACTTTTTTGTCAACCGACTCAACATATGGGTGTACAAAAAATGTTCTTAATGGTGAATTCTAAGTACGAAATATTATAATTTAAAGTTTTTGTAGTTTAAATAATAAAACAAAATGTATGGCTAATAGGTACTATAATACTTTATATCGGAATCATTACGTTAGGTAGGTATAGTGCGTGAATATTGAAAATGGATTTCGTTACAAAGATAAATGGATACATTTTAATTTAAAAGTGTAAAGTTAAAGAAGATTCTAGTATCTACTTAAATTTCTTATGCATTCCTATTTATTTTACTAAATGATAAATGTATATTTTAGAGAATATTTTGTTATTAATAACAAATAATAATGTATTCAATTTGTATGTTTATAGCACATATTCAAATAATCCTGTTTAACTACTGTAGCCTATATTCACTTTTCATTTATATATGTTTTAATTAATATCATCATAATTTGATAACTGGTCGACGAGTGGGCAATATTTAAATTTATCATCACGAGCCTATTATGTATCAAGACTTTCGAGTTTCTGATTTCGGTTGTGCGATGAGAATACGAATTATATAACCCATTTGCATGGGTTATTTAATATTTCTGTTTATAGTTGAACTTATATTTTCATACTGGTCAATTCGGATTTTTAAAAATAAATGTCATGTAGGCACAATATTCATGTTGGAATTTTAAAGTCAATTAAATTAAATTATCATAAACCTCTCCCTGGTGGGTTTTATAAAGTATGCTTACTTAACAGTTAATACATAAGTTATAGGTATCAATATCTTAATACATATTTTCGCATTCCAAAAAAAAATCCATTTATCACTACCAAATTGCCAACTGAAAAAATCCATCAACTGGTAAATTAAAAACCGTCTCCCTGTTCTATTTTTTTCTATCATTTCTAATTCAGTTATAGAAGTACTTATACATAAATGTGTTACTTGATTAAACAGTTTGCAGTAGTTGTTATAACGGTTAAGCCGAATAATATTTTCAGGTTTTAAGTCGTTAATATTAATATTAGTGTTCCTGTTCTATCAATACTGATAACTAGGTAGTTAAAACGGATTAAGGATCTTGGTTTATTACTTGTCAATTCTGCCGATTCTGGTGTGAAGCCCTGCTATAAACTATTCTGAGAATTATTGAAAAAAGATTCTTAACCATTTAAGTATGATATATAATATTCACCAAAGAATTATTTTGTACTTACATGCACTTTGCACTTGTTTGACAGTTGATTCCTGTGCATTCTGCACTACTGCTCTTTTTGCTGTGAAGCCGTTACCTCCGTATCCACCGTAACCCGCACCACTGTCATATCCGGTTTGTGGCACCCCGAATCCTGTCTGGTAACTAGGAGGCGCGACTTGGTACGAGTTGCTGGGGTACGCGTTGCTCTGGTATGCATTGCCCTGGTACACGTTGCTCGGATACCCTTGTCCTTGGTATCCAAACGCAGTAGCAGCTCCGTAGCCTGTAAATCGGAAGTGTATACTCTGAAATACTGTATAGAAGAAGTACAACTATCAGCGAAGTATATTTACTGGTTGGATGGTGGATTGGCGTGACAGGCAGGTGGTTGAATAGGCCCACGGAGGAATGTACGTCTAGTTGTGGTTCATGGTGGACGTCAAACGCGTGAGTCGCAATGGTTTTGCCAAAGTTCGAAATCGCTTCACCTTTGGTCTGCATCAGCTTACCTTTGGCTACGACCGCGTGCCCTTTAGCCTTGATCAGTTGTCCCTTGAGAGCAATCACTCCACCCGTTATCGCTTTAGCCGCTTGAAACACCGACGACATGATCGCTTTTTTAACGCCCCATAAGTTGAACGATTTTGTGTGATAAGACTAAAATGCAATATACATTCGTGTTCTTTCGTAAATAAATATTAATACATAAACGACTATCGTTAATAAATCTTATCAGTTGACGTAAGGCACGTACAACTGATTTGATATTTATAAAGTTTACAAATATGTCATACCAGTGGTTCTTCGAAATGTTCTGGATAATTGTCAAAATGACCAATAGATTTACCCGACGACGTGCCGGTTATTGAGCTAAGTAATCCAAATTTTTTCTTCAATAGTGATGAAAATATGTTCCCGGACCTCTTGGTTCTCGAGTCGTCTCTATCGGTTTTCGACTCGTCAATTTCTACGTTTTCGAGAGGGTCCAGTGACGTGGCTCTCGTTACATAACCGTTAAGGGCTAAAATGACAATTGTCAACGCGAAGACCTGTAAAAAAAAATAACGTCATAATAACAACGCAGTTGATTTTTTGCAATGACGAAGTGTGTGTAACAAATCGCAGAACTAATTTCATAAAATTTTAAGAACAACGAACGACTCATACTTAGAGTTACGAAACATTTTTAATGTCTTAAAGCGTGATTAGTAAGTTATGTGATGATAAGTTTAACTGTTATTATTATATCTATTATTATTCTGTATGGTAGGAGAAAGTTTGGATTCGGTTAATATTGTTATTACAGAACCCGTTTATCCTGATATTGCTAGTTCCGGTCATCTTGAAATGAAAGTAATATGTTACCTCATTTAGACACTGCTTACATAGGTATATATATATGATATTATGGGATATTTATTATAACATTCATCGCACGCGTACTAAATTAACATATTGAATGTAATTCAGCTTAATAATTTTTAAAAGTACCTAGTTGTACATTTGTTGTTATCTTTATGAATTATGACTGTTAGCTACATATAAAATAGTAAATAGTTACATTATATACATTGTAAATTGTCATTAGACAGCACTCTACTATACCATGGTATTACGTGGCGGTGAATGATTATACTGCGACTAATTATTGTACGTATTCAAAGATACAATTCAAATCGATTACATTTATACGGTTATTGTTTTTGCAACATCGTAATATTATTATTAAAACCTATTTCGATTTCGTTTTGCTTACTCGCCGGATCATTAATCAAAAAGTTTTTTGTTTCGATCAGCTACCCCCAAGATCATTGATTATATTATATGTTTTGAATAATACAAAATATGTATTTTGTGAGCAATCGATTAAAGAATTACTAAAATAATGTTTATGTTGCAACTAACATATCACAACAAAATACGGTACCAAAAATTGGTATTTCCATCAAAACGAATACTTTTGCTTGAACATGTATAACACGCTTTGATTCAACAAATGGGTATGTGAAGATATGTGTCATATTAACGATCTCATACGAAAATTCATTCATAAAATACTCCACAAAACTGAAATAAGTAACACCAGTAAGCCAGTAATAGATTAAAACGAGCCTCACTTAGCTATTGTCTTAAGACAGTTAATTAATACTTAAAATAGTATAGGTATTGTTATAGTAAAATATAAATAATTAATTTGTATTTTATTAAAATTATTTATTTATTGTTTTAATGTTTTAACATAATAACATATTTATTATAAGTATGTAAAAATAATATTATTGCAAATAATTAAAAAGTAATTATTTATTAGTAAGTACTTAAAGGTTACAGGTCAAGTATACAACTTAAAATGAAAATTTACTTTGGGCTTTAAGTTCTATCAAAATTATAATAGTATAACATTTTTTTGGATAAAAAAGTTTTTCTAAGGAAAACTATCATTTTTTGAAAGGAAATACAAATAAAATATGTTTTAACCACATGCTATACAACACTATTCTTTATTATTTCTAAAAAAATATATAATATTTATAGTAATATTAATAAATGATAGATGAGATTATTTTTTGAAGAGAGTTTGGACATGTGGAAGTGAAAGGTATAAATTCAATTTTACCTTTAAATAATTCAAATAGTTCTTATCATAAAGTTTACTATTCCTTGTAGCCTTGAAGTAAAAATATACGAGCCTAATATAAGTATATTTAGATACAGTTGTATATTAATATTTAATTATTGTCGTACACGTAGTTTTTTTAGATTTCCCCAGAAGTAAGATTCCTAGTTGTAAATTGTAATATAAAAGTTTGTATTTATTTTTATTCCGTGATCGGAACCGGTTTCAAGTATAGTTGCTTATTTGATATTTTAGTTGCGTAACGCAGACACTATTATAGTTGACCCTTACCGACCCAGACCTTGCTTTCTTCGTTTCACAGTAAATATTTATTATTTTGTCATCTGTAGTGAAATTGTCTTGGCATTTAACGAAAGTTAATATGACAAAAATTGTTTTGTTTTTAATTAATTAATAGTAATTATAATGTAAAGCTTTTTAGTAAGTCTAAATCAGTCATTCATAAAAAGCCATAAACAGTTACCTAGTCAATGTTTCCGAGATATATTTTAGAGGTGTAAGCCGATAGATGATAATTAAAATAATAACTAATTAACTTTTAATACAATTAATTACTCTATTATAATTTAGAATGTATTTGACGAATTTATTCCCCCCAAATTTTCAGTTTTCAGTTTGTGCGTTTGCTGTGAATCAAATATTATCCGTGTAATTGATAGCATGGGTGTAAAAAAGCTGTAAACCTACATGTACAGTTATATAATGAGCGATTATGTTATGTGTTTATTTACGGAGAAAGATGTTCACGAATATTACCAAAAATAATAAGGAGTTTCGAGTAATCGAGAAACGTCTGTAAAAAAGTAATAATAACACAATATTCAATACTTCCTTCCTATTGACGTCACGAATCGAAGTGGGAAACGCTTTCATTTCGGATTCCGGAATGGGTGGTACTAGAATTGCACACAACTACACAAGTAGGGACCTGTATATTATTATGAAGCGGAGAGTATGATAAAACATATTATTTTCTAAGTATAAATAATTTATTAGTTTCAAATTACGTTATTTAAACCAATATTTTCGTGTGGTATAAACATAAAACGTGTTACGAGGCCTATACAACTTTTGCCACAGTCTACATTTTCCAAACACATTTTTCAATACTTATTAGGTAATATATATTACTCAACATCCACCCAATGTATAATACACTAAAAGAATATGCAAAATACGGCCACCAATCATCCTATATTTTTTGTTGGTTTTGTACTGAACTCGATCGTTGAATTATTCAAAATGTTTACTTGTGTTTTATAACTTATTCAATATGTTATAATATATATTCTTTTTTAACACGCTATTTAGTTAAATACGTATCTGGCTAACAGGGAAGTACAACAAAATATTAATTAATTATAGTATGTTAAAAATTCCATACACCGTTGCCTATGTAATTTTACGTCATGTTATGAAAAAATCAACTACTTTCATCCTAATCATAATAATATAACGATAGGCGCTATGGACCGAATTTAATGAATTAATAGAACTATGTAATACATTATGAAATTCATGGTTGAAAAGCTATATTTGAATAGTTGTATTTTACAGTCATTAATTTTGTTGTACTTATCACTATCTTTGTAGTAATAAAATAATGTACATGTTATGGAATATCTTGATTTTGATGATTTTTTTCACAATACAGGTGTTTAAATTGCTGATAAATGTATAATTTATAATAAATTATAATATTCATATTTTCATTTGTTTTTGTAACATTGTGTTTATATTAGATTAATTTATACATTTAAACTATTTTTAAATAAGTAATTTATTTGCTTATATCAGAAATTATCTACTTGTTTTTTACAGATTTTCTGGAATGTGGAATCCGTTCTAACCTCTGTGAAACTCGGACAGATGATGACAAAGTGTTTAACTGTAATTTGTACATTGTATGTTAGGCATAATGGAGTGAATGTTTTTGATATTCGTGTGAGGTCCTCGTGTGAACATTTCTGAGCCTATTTGTCACTTTTTCTTTACAATTTAAACGAATTTGGTTTGACCAGAGCTTACCGAAGTGTTTTATTTCTCTTAATTGGTATTTATAGGTATTATTGTTGTTAATGCAGTCGATTATATTTATTTATAAAATAAGATCTTTCACTTATATTGTTCATACTTAATATTATATTAATAACATAATACTTTTTATTTTTATTTCATTTAACACTCAGCAACAACGGTTATTTGAATTTCCAAAAAATATAACAAAATATATACAATAATTAGTTTTAAAATGTGTTTATTAATTTTTACGAGATGATGAAGTCGACTACTGATTTTGTTGAGTAAGGGGAATTTCTGATACCATGAAACTAATATTATAAAATATTCATAACTACCTAAAAGTGAATATTTCTTATAATAAATTAAAGTAATACACTTGTTTGTTTCTGTTTATTTATTTATATATACATATATAATATATATATATATAAGTACACGGGCGTGTGCCCTACTGGAACTAATTGCTATTAAAAAAATAATAACAGTGATATGAACAAATTTTATTTTTCAAATGATTATTTGCACTTTGCTGGTCAAACACAGTATAGTTTTATTGGTTCAATAATAGTACCTGTATTATTTTCTAAAGATAAATAGAAATTAATATTGTTTTTTGGGTTTCAAGGTTTTCTGTTTTAATTAGTATATTTTGTTTTAATACATAATGCATTTAATATTATTTTAATGTCTTGGGTTAAATGTATCATTTCAAATAGTACAAATGAAAACCATGATAAATTATGTTATCATATAGACCCTATTATATAATATTCGAGTGTGAATATTTTTAAATAAATCAAAGTCATTCCGAATAAGACGAACAGTACTATCTAATATATTTATATATTTTTATTTCAAGAATATTATGTCATCTAGATTTAAAAATATTTAATTTTTAATTGAATATTTTATCCAGTTAAATCTACATAGGGGATTAAGTTTTATTAGTCAAATATCCTGGTTTTACGTAATTCTTCCTATTTTTCTCTACACTTAATTTATTTATTCGTTACGTTCAGATGTTCAATGATTATAATGTTCGAGTTAAATGTTAAATCCGTATACGATATGAGTGAATAATCTAATTAATTCACAGAACAAATTACGTATTTAAAAAAAACCCATGCAAATCTTGTGCTGCGTCATTTTTTATTTACTCGACCGTAAAGCTCCTTAAATTATATGCTGATGTGTATGTTGGGACATCGACAATTACTTTATTGTAACATATTTTTTAAAACATTAAAAACGTATTGTTATACATAGTCTTTACTATTTCCTTGCGCAACAAAAGTAGGTAAAATATTTATTTGGTTCTAAGTATTGTGAAATGTTGAATACAATCGTACAGGCAGTTTAAACCAGTTTACCTTTGCTGCGCCTTCAACAGGACCAATTTTGTATATTTGGTAAAAAATCAAACACTAACGGTAAAAATGTGATTTGGAAATAATACACACTCGTGGTCTCGTCGGGTAACTATAAATTAGAGCCGCGGGATCAGATATTTAAATAATTAGATGTGTCCTTGAAGTAAACTCTAGAGTTCGAAGAAAGTCCATTTTTCAGTATTACCCCAGGCAATTTTACTTGTTTTAGCCAATCACTCAAATAATTTTGCTGTAGATAGTTACATTACCAAATTTTAAATTAGTTTAGTAGTGATAACTAATTAGTGAAAAAAAACCTTGTGCGATAGTTGTGAGCAAGCAAGTGAGCAATTGTGTATTTACGACGGGTGATATCGCATGGGTGAACTGTAGGTATAGACATATTATATATATTCGTAATCTAATGTAAAAATAATAGTTACATTATTATGTAAAATATATTATTATTATTGTAAGAATCAATTGTAAAACAATGCTTATAATATTGCGTTGCTATTAACTTGAAGTAGTTAGGTACAATACATATACAATATATATTTTTTTTTTTACACTAAGTTCTCTCTTCCCACCAAGAGGAAATAAAAAATATTAACAGAGTTGTACATAAAATCTTCTAAATGGTTTACTGGTTTACTACTCTTCCGTAGATTAAATTGAATTAACATCGTAATCGCATGGTTTAATAGGTTTATTTTATATTATTCAACAAACGCAAACGAAATAAATGTGTCACTTTCTCAACACATTTAATAAAACATTAAACATAATAATGTATTATTAATATATATTATAATATAGATAGTAATATTTAAAAAAATATATACTCGAATACTAATTTACAATGATATTTATAAAAGCATTATAAGATATTAAGACGCAAGTAAATTGAAACAACCAAATTTATCACATACGTATTTATTATGTTCCATTCAGCAAAAAAATTAATTAATTTAATATGAACTAAAATATTCATTTATAAATATTCTTTTTTCCAACAGTTTTCCTTTTTTTAAAAAAAAAAAAAAACCGCTTTGATCATGTTAAGGGAGTTAAATAGAAGTTACAAGTCTGTAGATATGAATACTCTGTCGATGTGATAATAGGTAATTGCACGGCCGGATTGACAATCACAATTAATTATTTATATCATCACAATACATTTTATCGTGCCCAATGCGAGACATAAAAAATACGTCTGTCCGCAGTCGCGTGAAATCATTAGACAACGACCTTCGTAGGTCGAACCTACGTTCGATGATCTCTACATCGCAGTCTATCGAATTTCAGCCGTGGCTACCATTATACCCTATTATAGGTCGCCAAGTGCCAACATTTTTAGAAAGAGATGGTTTGTGTAATACAATGAGACCTATGTACTTCAGGTGTATGCTTCTTTTTCTAAAAATGTCTTTATCCTTGTTGTTGAACTATTCTCTATTTCTTGTTATTAATGGTTATATATGGTACCAACGTTTTAGGCTATCTTGTCCTAACGATAGCTGATCTCTCTCTCTCTCTCTCTCTCTCTCTCTATTATCAGTCTTTTTCTTAATAGGTCTATGCATATTAGGACTCGTTCTATGATACTGTCGAGTACAACGGTATATTTGATATTCTATGGTATTCCGCCGGAAAATCACTAACCGACGATGCACTTGTAAAAAAAGACACGAATGACGATCACTGTCTTTGACGCATAAAATAGATCAATGTTGATGACTGTTGACGACCGCGGGTTTGACGAAAAAATCGATAGGTGCGTATTAAAATCACTCGGTGTGTAGAGCCAATATCGCGGGTGAGCCGTTCATGCTTTCTAAACGCACAAGCTGAGTGTAAGGCACTATCGTCGATATAATAAGTATAATATTATTATATTAACCAATTATGCTACCCAACAATCGCTTACTGGTCGAGCTTCAACGACGGCTCGCGCCCGGCGAATTCTGCTACCGTCGGATAAGTACCTATATATTAAAGGAAAGGTACCATCTCGACAGCTACTGCAGGACATTCTTCGCTGACCCAAACACAGATCCAGACATCGGTCGGAAACTTTCAAAGCTCAACGTTTAATTTTTTTTCCAAATTTTGTTTTAAAAGCTATGTTTTTATGTCCATAGCATGAACAGTTGGACCACAATATAGTTATGACTTATGACCCTCATAAGCTGGAGTAGTTATGACAAATTGCTATTAGCCTCTGGCATCGTATCCTTTGGTGAATACTATTTAGCCAGGTAAGTACTTAAAATATCATGATATCATTAAGATAGCACATTATACGTCTATGAGGTCATAATTTTATAATCACATAGGTGTTTTAATTAGTTATTAAATATGCACGTAGATTCTGGTGGTTCTAGTGTGGAATTATAAATTAGAGTAGGTATATCTATACTATATAAGCTAATTGACAATTAAATTATTGTTTCCAGTTATAACTCTCGTTATATTAACATCATATCTAGACATTTATTGTGGAGCATCGTAATAGGTAATTAGTATTTATTTTTAATTTACTAGATTTTGCATACCTATAAACCGCTTATTTTATGTAAACTGTTACATTATAAAAAAAATACAATTTTTTTCTTAATTATAAAATATTCAATACGATATTGAACTATATAATTTTGTCATAGAAATCGTACTTTCAAATTCACACAGACTAGGTAATTATTAATAACACAGCGCCTTAGTTAAATGAAATACACCGGTTTAAAGTCAGTATACCTACTATAGTGAATTGAAATAAAAAATAAACCTGATAAATGATGACCGAAACAGTGATAATTATATTATTTCTAATTCATTTCAGAGAAACGCAGTACACACGTTTTTGTTTTAAATTACGATTTATATTTTTGCGTTGAGAATATTTCGTTTGCACTTGAGCAAATATTATATCGAACCGTAAGTTTTAACATACAATATACATGTAAAATGTGTAAGTGGTCACATTTGTAATAATTAGGACATTTTTCGCAATGTTTCATGCGTCAAACGACTCTAAATAGGTACCTCATATACCTGGTATCTTTATCCACGTCGTTTGTGCTGTTGCCGATGCAGAAAAGACAATCGCTCATTCAACAGTTATATCTATTATTTTTATCACTGCTATCGTTATTATTACTATTGTATTCAGTTTTTTAATGTTATTTTTTTTATATAGCGCATGCGATGTTTATTGCCGTTACAACTGACTTTCACCTTCGGACGTCTACACTGCCGCAGGTTGATGTTTTGGCGGCAAAAATATGACTATGTATGAATGCATAAAATATAGACATTTCACATACGTACCTTTACCTATTTCGTTGGATAATTTATATTTTCCATATTTTTGAAGATCAATAAGGTTATTTTTTTTAAGTAGTTACCTATTACGATTCACAGTCATACCAACATTAATTGATTCGATTTTAAGACTAGACCGTTATAAAAAACTAATTATAAACACAACGCAATAGCAACATCAATAATAATAGTACCAATGTTAACACTCGTATCGTATTCGGACCATAAGTCAAATCAATAATTGAAAAAAATAATTCCGTGGAATACAATTTATCATAATATTAGGTATAATAATATGTAGGTACACATCCTACAGTCAAATGTTTAGCACTTGTGTCGAGAATAAAAATGACAATAAGTTTCTTAACGAAATCGTGTAATTAATAATAGCCGCGATTCGCGAAAGTAAATATACAATGGTTCATGATTTCATGAAGATGATGCCGCATCAATTATTCAGTAATACAGCTGTAATGGTGAAAGCATTATGCAAGACTAATGTGACACTAATTAGTAGGTAAATATCATTTTTCTTAATTAAATATTTTCAATTTTAAATAAATATTAGCTATTATATTATTTGTGAAAACTTTTACTGTAGGAAGGAAACAAATCTGAATATTTTTTTGTTGTTATTAATTATAAGACCCTCAACTACGCGTATCCATTGAGAAAACTGAATAATTTAGAATACAAGTACAACACTTGAATGACAAAAAAATGAAAATAGTAATTACCTAATGGATTTTTTTTATCAATATTTCATATCAGAAGCTTTAGAATGTATGTATTCAGTATACACGTTCAAACATGTTTTAATGAATTTTTTTACCGTTTGTAGATAGAACATATAAATTAAAAAAACTAATTTTAATGAAACATTTTTTTATGAAAATATCAAAAATGTTAATACGATTTCTATATGAATAAATTGAACACCGTCTTGATACTTAATATAATATTGCATAAATATAGGGTGATACTACTAATTCCAATATAATAATTTAATTTAATTTATCGATACTTAACTGAACCATATTTTCCTAAATTAAAATGCAATTAATATAAATTGTCTATAATGTTGATTGAAAATAAATCGTCAAAGGTAACATTATATGCTAGGTTATAGGCTTATTTATTAGATTTATAGACAATTTAAATTTAAACAGCTGATATTCTTAGAATGTAAAATTACCTTAATTTAGTTGAACTATAGACAATAATTCTGATGGTGTACTACCCTACCACAGTATCACTGTATACGGCTATAAAACAATAATGACATTTTCATGGGCATAGTCAATTAAAGTACTAACCATAAATTATTGAAATTTCAAGTACAAGTTAATGACTAATCAATATTGGTGAGAATATATTATATTTGTGAAAAATATAACAGGAACCATAATAGACAATATTCTAGGGATTAAAATTACTAATACTAACAATAAGTTTAAAAGTTTAATATAGGTATTTGTTTTTAGTCTAAATGAAGATTGTTAATTTGTATCAATACAATTAAAAATAATAACATTTCAAACGATAAATATTATGAGTGTATGGTAACGGCTTAAAATTGAATTAAATCAATTCCGAACAACCACCATTATATATATTAATGGAAAATAAAAATATTGAGTGAGAAAAAAAATCGTATAAACATACCTTCATTTTAACAATTGAACATCAATAGCACAGTACTTATATTTATAAGTTATAACAACAACAATAACCACAACAACAACAATAACTACCAAATCGGCGGCCCCGTATTAAAAAATTAAATATTTCCACCGGTAGAAAATAATATTTTATAATATAAATTAATAAGCACTCTCACTATATCACTCGCGCGGGAAGCACTTGCACTCTCACGAGCTCCGTACGTCATACAGCGCTTGGTATCATCACATGAGGCTTTTACTCGGACGGTTACCGCGCAGTGACCCCACCACGGAACACGGTAATAATATTGTCTTACACAACGACCACGAGGTCCTTTCTCCACACATTAATGTTATTATTATTATTATCATTATATCGGACAGTGGGCACCCAAAGCCAAACGTGCACGGTGTAGGAAACACGATACTAGCGGATCCAGGAACTTTGTAGGAGGGGACTATTACATGTTTACTAGACCCGTTTTAAAAATGAAATAAAACATAATGCACTTACCTACACATAACTGAAAGACAAATATGTATACTAAAATGACATTTTGCCAAAGGGGGTCAACACCTTCCTTATCAGCCAACCTTGAATCCGGCGCTTTGGCTTTTTTCCAAAAAAAAAAATACGTTTTGTTCATGCGCCTGACGTAAGCCATATTTTTAGCGAATAGGTAGACCACTGAAAAAAAAATGTTATGTTTAAACCAGTTACATTATTTCCGTTTAAAATGTATACAAAAACCTGTAGCCAAATATAAGACATACTACGTAAAATTAATTTGAATATTAAACATAGGTATATATAGGTGATTCTCCATTTCAATACCTAACCTTATAAAAACGGTATCCACAATCCATATATTAACCCTTATGTCGTTATATGATGAGATTGTATAACTATTAATTTGCATTATGTTACCTATAACTTATAACATAGCAATATTAAGTAATATTAGTTCTGCTTAAATGTTATCTAAATATAGGTAGTTTTAAATTTAAATTAATTTATATGATAACAATTTGTCCGTAAAAAACAAATTTTGACAAATATTTCTTGTCGTTATTATTCTCGTCATCCATTTCAATCGTTTTTTGAAAGCTTAACATTAATAATATATTTTTTACAAATATTAAAATCATCACATTTTAGAGTCCTTGCGGAAGTTACTCATTTAATTTTTTTAAGTGTTTTCTATTTATTTTTGGCAAGTGAGCTAAGAATTTAAGACGTTTTATCCAACATTTTTTTTCCTTACCCCTTTGGTTGGAATTCCCAATGAGCTTCATGCATCATATCATGATATACCACCTTCGTATGTCGTATCTCCAACCTTCCGTCACTAAAATTATGTAGTGAAATCTTAAAAACATTTAATAGTATGAAATAGACCACTCCAGAAAAAAGTTAAAAATAATTAGGTAGTAAGAATTATTTTGTTTAATGGGTCACTCATCGGTGTTGATTGAACTAGAAAACTTGTTGTGAAACCCACTATGAATGAGGCACACGGTAGATAAAAATCGTTACAGGGCGGGAAAGACGAAAAGAATCCGAGTACCGGAGTACGTATATCACTGCAGGAAAGCATACTCGGCTAACCAATAAATTATATAATATTTATTTTATTCAATTATTCAACCAATATCCAAGGAACTCGCCCAAAATGGTCCATATATATTTTCAGGTAGGTACTTATCTAAAATATATCACATCCGCTCAAACGATCACCACTTACCATGTGTACCACATAAATGACCACGGACGGTTATAATGGCCTAATAATATTATTATAATATTGTATCGAATCGTTGATGATTTCCTATAACGTGTTTCGATGTTATGACATGTCAATCACGGATACGGTTATGATGTTGTTGTTGTTGCCATTATTCCGCGAGGTACCGTCGAAAATTATAGCAAAAGAAAAACACGTAAACCATATGAAATCTTGACAGTATAAATGCGTCAGTGGCATTCAATGATTTTTTCCACTAGATTTGAAATCTCGCACACGTAGTTATCATATTTAGGTGTTATTATTATTTCGAATCAGTGGTAACTTGTGGCGAAGAGGTACATTCAATTTCCTAACTGATTTTAAATCCTAGGCTTAGCTATATTATCCAACTTGGATACTGAGTACATGACACGTTCTTAGTAACGCTAAACTAATATGTTTATACATTTTAAACAATTTTAAATAATAGTACTTCTTATGAGAAATATTAATTTTAATGAATAATAAAATCATATTGGTAATAGGTACATAGTCAAATTATATATTAACAATAATGCATTTTACTAAGACTATATGTTACGTCCATCCTTGCACCAAACTATATACTTATTTACGTAGACAATAAAATGGCTATAGAGTGATACGTTTGCATTGAAGAAAGTTAATAATACTATCCAAGTAAAAATTAATAATTGTACCTTACAGACAATGGACATTAAATATAATAATGAAAGTGAATGCATAAGTAACATAATAATATAATTAAAAATGTATTTATGGTTCTGAAATAAAAATGTTAATACTTTACTATACATGAAAAATAATTATTAATTAATTTTAAATTCATATCACTGAAATACGTAATTAATAATTTAGCCGAAATAGTATTATAAAAAATATATTTTAACTAATTTTATGAACCCAACGTATGATAACTGTTAAAGTAATGTTAACTTTATTATTTTAGTTAGTATCTTAAATAAAAAAATCATATCTTGTAGGTGCCGGAGCAAAAATATATGGGGATGTACTTCGATATCACTATTAAATATAGGTTGTTATAAGTTGTATAATGTACATCGATCATTTACCTTTTATTACATATATGTACATTCTTTTTTATTAATATTTAGCCTTAAAGTATATGAAATATTATGTTATTAAATTCAAATTAACTAAAATAGAAATAATATTGAAAGAATTCAAATAATTATGAGGTACAGTTATCAAATGCTTTACAATAAAATAATAATTGTAGTTTTCATTAGATTTGTGTGAAAATCATCAATTTGTAATATTATTGACGGATTGATGGATAATGGATTAAGCATTTACACGATTTATAGTTTATAGTTTTATACAACCGAAAAGATTATATATTATTATTTTGTTGCACACCAATTTAACCGTTGTGTAATATCGCAATATGATATTATACGGCAATGTATGATGAAAAAATAAAATATACAATATGGATAAACACACCAAGCACAAAATGAGTTATACTCAATACTCATGTCCTATACTACGCTATAATATTTTATACCTATTCGGCATACTTAATCCTTAAACAATCATTAAATTATTGTACAATCAGTAAAGTAAAAATTAAATTATCCACCTTTCTAAGATTAAAATTATTTAAAAATTAAAATTAAAATTATTCAAAATTATTAAACTAAAAAAGAATTGGTAAATAAAAATATAATTTAACCGTCAGAATCAAATACAATGCACACACAATTACAGTTACTGTAGGTACCACGTAACTCTTTTTGAATTTCAAAAGCATATATAAGTTACAAGTATATAGTTGCTCCCAAGTTAAAAGTTTCTAAAATCTTGATACTAAGGCCTATGGGAAGTTATATAGTGTTTGAAATATTACATATTATTCAGTGCTATGTCACAGTTTAGTTTAATGTCTGTATTATTGCTACAAAGAACACTGTAAGAATGATGTATAATATTAAACGAATTATAACGCACATTCCTTGTACATAAATTATCATAAAACATCCCTGCTCCCTCTATATAGAATACATACCGTCCGAAGTCGCGGGATACGCTAGCGATGCACCGAGTTTTCACTTATCTGACAATCAGCCCAACCTGCCAAATCTTGTCGGCAGGTCGCGGTGATTTCGTCGAAACGTAAAGTTCAATGCCAAACATCGCGGTGCGCACGGCTTCTGGGGGTGATGCACCAGATATCGGGTTGTCGTCTGTCGCCTCGATGCAAGAGCCGGATCGAAACGGTTTCGGTCGAGACGTTAGGTGAACTTAAGTTCTTTGGTGAACACGGCAACAATGCGACGCCCGTTGTCACCGAAGTCGAGATCAAGACGCCGCACGTCTCGCCGCCGCTGCAGGTTTGGTCGGCCGAAGTGGACGTGCAGCAGTCAAGTCACGATCTCCTCGATCCAAGCCGAGACGCCGTTCTAGTTCGATGTTGAAGATGGCGTGCGAGTGGCGGCTTACTTCGGCGGACATCGAGCCCGATCCGTAGAGACTCTCCATCGAGTCGTCCGACTTTGAAAACAGTCAAACCAAAACCTCACGTGCAGATTGCTAAGATGCATTCGAGTTTTCTGCTACTACAGCTTTTAATCAGCCGGTGTGAATGTGTGATGGAACAGACTCGGTAACCGGCCCGGTTATAAACGAGCCCCGCTTAATGTGGAAAAAGACAAAGCGATTCGTTCTACGCATATTTTTTTGCGCTTGATATGGGTATCAATAAAAAAACTGGACTCTATTCAATCAGTTACCACCGAATTCGGTTGCAACCGTTCGAACGCTAGTTGAAAAAAAAAGTTATACCTATACTATAATATAGATTATAAGAATGTAAGACTGCAAATCCTATTATGATGTACACAAATATAAACGTTTTGGTATGTTATACACATTTAACTGGTTTTCATTTGATATTATTATATTATTGATTATTATTAATAAACGCATCAACATGCTAGTGGAAAATCAATTTATGTAGCTTGTGAAAATCGAAAAGTACAGGTATACTTTCGGTCTTTTTTGATTTTGCAACCGTTGTGTAAAGATCTCTTTATCGACATTTAAAGAAAAAAAGAGTTTAAGTTTATGTCGCTCTGCTGTACGCCTGTACAGTAGGTTACAAGTGGGTAACTGCAATGGATGATGTAAAATTTGAATTAAATAATATAAAGTCATTGTATACGAAAAACGATTCTGAGAGAAGGCCTGTCAGTTTATAATATTACTTAGTAATTTAGTATATTTGATGATATTATTGTTACTTAAGTAATTTGTTTCTACTAGTAAGCATTAGTACTACGCAGTACTGCAGTAGGCAGTAGATTAAATTCATTTTTGACAAAAAAAATCTTATTGGAAAAGTCATTGTGTGTCAACAAAATAACATAAATCATGGTTCTTGGTTATTTAATAAGTAATTTCGTCCAAATTTGAAAAAAAAAACTAAAAAAAAAAACTTTCATAATTTATTTTTTTAGATTTTTTAGT